GCTCAGCCAGCCCCACCCCGCCACCCTGGCAAGGTGTGCACAGGCTGCCGGAGGAGTTAAAAGGGGAGCAGAGCTACTCACCTGTGGGCAGACCAGGGAAGAGGAGACATCTTCAGCTCCCGAATGAAAGGCTCATGGAAGGCAGAGGACCCCTGCCCCGAGGGAAGGGCGAGCCAGATTCTGATGCACCCTGGAAGGGAGCAATTCCCCCGTTCCCAGTGCACTCCATTACTTGCCTGAATTCCCCTTGCCTTTTGTCCATGGACAGCCCTGCAAGGGGAGAGATTTTACAGTGGCTTGGCCAGCGGGCAAGGGCACCGGAACAGGCAGGTCACTGCACCGGCAAACAGCCCTTGGCAGGGGACACCCGTTAGGAGAGCGCTGCCATGCCACGCCCAGCCATGAGGAGGCGCCTGTGGCGAATCAGCCCCTTCACAGGGCAGAGTTACCACCGCTCCCCCCAGGGGGCAGGCATGTGCTACGAAGGTGGATTGCTTAGGCCAGTGGTTCTCAAACCGTTTCCGTCCACGGACCACCAGGCCAATCAAAACATTTTCGTGGACCCCCTCCAGCACATGCAGCACAGGACGAACGACACGGCAACCACTCAGCACGACAACGGCAGCGACACCGACGTCGGAGCCTCAGACGGAAGTTACTGGCAACACAACGTGAATGTGTCCTCGGTGACGCTATGGATGACGCGCCGCCTGCTTGTGAACACGGCGTAAAACAGCCTAACGGCGGCGCCTGCTCACGCCGTGTGACTTTGGACAGTGTTCCTGGGTGTGGCGGTGCCCCTTGGGTGAACCCGATGTCCCGAGTTCGGCACCGTCCCTTTAAGTCTGGCCGTACAGCTTTTCCTCCGCTGGCGGCGTTATTCGCCTGTCAGGCGTCTTGCTGGGGTTTGCCTCCACACGAGACGGAGGAGAGAGGGGGCACCCTGCCCTCACTCGCGGGCCCCATCCCAGGGCCCTAAGGACTCCGACCACGCTGCGGTCGCAGTCCTGCTAACGGGGTTGGAACCCTAAACGTGTCAGCCCACTGGCTTGGTTCACCGCCCTGCCCTGGGCTACTTCCTCTCTCCTCCTTTTCCCCTTCCTGTGCTCACCACCCCTCTGCCCGGGTGAGCCCTACCGGCTTGTCACTGGCCTCTTGCGAAGCCTTTCCGGGTGCCTCTCCCCCTCTGCTTGGGTCAGCTTCCTCCCTCTCCTCTCTGCCTGGTTGGCTTTTGAATCCCCTGCCGCCCTGGACACCAGGCCTGATGTCGCCCTGACGTCACCGACGTAGCTCTGACCCCACGCCCTCATGACGCAGGGTCAACTCCTCCCCCTTTCGGCAGCCACGCCGGTGTTCCCCCAGCCGTGTCGCACCACGGCAACATCCGGCGCACAGCCGGTAAGCGCTCCCCGGCAGCGCCAACAGGGTGCTTACCCCCTGGGGTCCAGTGCGGGGCCTCGGCGCCCCGTCACACTGTGGACCTCCGAAAAAGTCACCATGGACCAGTTGAGCACCACAGGCTTAGACTGTACACACCTCCAGAGCAGTATGCCCCCTGGTGGGGGCTGGTTCAAAGTGGGTTTTATCAGATAAAAACGGGATTTTGATATACAACGGCTGGGTTTAAACTGGCTCAGGGCCTTCTTTCTGATCCAGCAAACAGAGGGCTCTGGGGGTCACCCAGTCCTGGCAGAAGGATGGAAAGAGCTTGGCCCGCTAGGCCCCTCGAGTGTGATGGGAGACACATGGCACGTTTGGGGTGTGCCGGCTTTACCGTGTTTTCCCTGTGATGTTTTTACCTTAAGAACACACGTGCTTGCAATAGCAGCGCCGTGCGGGGACTTGGAACTTCTGGCAATACAGGTCTCCTGGAGACGGAGCAATGCACAGCTGCTGATCGTGTGGCAAACTGGCTTGCTGGGGTACCACGGTGCAAGGCAGGGAGCTGTGCCGTCGTCAAACTCCTCCTCAGAAGGGATGGGGGAAAGGATCTCTGTCCTGGCCACATCAGACCCGGCTGGGGGCGCTGGGAATGGAGCATGAAAGGGAGAGGAGTCCTGGGGCAGCCAGCATCCAGCGTGGGCCAGTGTGCAGCACGCAGGGAAGAATGCAGCCTCGGGGCATGAGAATCCTACGTCTCTGGCAGAGAACTTCCTGCCTGCAGGGTGAATGCCACTGGATTACATTGAGATCCTGTAAAAACGACCTTCCAGAACAGGGGGTTCCGGGACTGTCAGGAACAAACTTTTGGCCACCTCCTCAGCCTCTGTGAAAAAAACCAATCCAAGTGGAGAGGCAGGGTGCTTGGTGCAACTGGGTGCCCCATCCTTCCTGTAGCCCTCCCCCGACCATTGGTTCAGGTGTGCAGTAACATTTGCTGTGGTCTTTGTTGCAGCTGGAGCTCTGGGTAGGGCATGCCTGGTGACACTCAAGGGCTGGCTGGGGGAAGCTAGCGCACTCCCCCCCCCTTGTGGAGGCCCAGAGCCACCCTATCCCACCTTGCACAAGGCCTGGCAAAGTCTGTCGGCCGCTCTGATTCCAGACAGGGAACCCCATGGGACCAGGAGCCATGGGAGATGAAAAATGACAAGGTTTGCCTAACTCACCGTGGCACCCGGCACTGGCTGGGAACTCGCCACGGGGCTGGCAATTGCGGTGAGATCCCCACAGCTCCCAGCCCCCGATGCCTCCCCAGACTTAGAGGGGAGACACCCACAAATCGTGAGGATCTCCTGCGGTGTAACAGCCCCAGGCTAAGTCACTCACGCTGTGACTCCTGTCCCCATTTGTAAACCAGGGAGGATAATCATTCCCTGCCTCCCTTCATGAAGATCAGTTCACGCATGGAGGGGAGGTGCTCAGATCCTGCTGGGAGGGAAGCCAGAGAAGTACCTCGTCCGACAGACTCATTAACTGGAAAGCATCTCAGCCTGAGTGGGACGAGGAAGGCTGCAAACGCAGACACTGGCGGCCGTACGTACAAAGGTTCTTAGTGCCGTTTTATATGCGGCCTCTTCTCTGTGTACATTAAGGACACGGAGAAAATAAATTGAAAGGAAATTGAATGGGGAGCTCTTGAATGTGAGCGGTGGTATGCGACACTCGAGTCTTTGTCCTGAAGTGCCGGGGATTTGCATGGCTCTGTGCTGTTCCTGGCACTTAGCGCTGAGGATAGAGTATTAAGATGCATGTTTTAACATTACAGGGATTTAAGTGGCTTTGTGGAAAATAAATGACTGGGTGAGTTTTAGCCCTGTCGCGATGAGGGAAGAAAGGCTGCGCAGGCAGACAGGGATGGTGCGGGGAAGCCGTGCAGTCTTTAGAACACAAGAACATAAAAACGGCCAGATGGGGTCAGGCCAAAGGTTCACCTAGCCCAGTATCCTGTCGGCCAACAATGGCCAATCCCAGGTGCCCCAGAGGGAGCGAACAGAATAGGAAATCATTAAGTGATCCCTCCCCTGTCACCCATTTCCAGACAAACAGAGGCTAGGGACACCTTTCCTACCCATCCTGGCTAATAGCCATTGATGGACCTAACCTCCATGAATTTACCTAGTTCTTTTTTGAACCCTGTTAAAGTCCGGGTCTTCACAACATCCTCTGGCAAGGAGTTCCACAGGTTGACTTCACTACATGAAGAGAAACTTCCTTTGCCTCATAAAACCTTCTTGCAGCATTCCTTGCACTCCCCAGTCCTCTCCAACTGCCACTGCATGCCTCGCCTTCCATCCCTGACGGCTCCAACTCTATCTCGACTCCGCACCCCTCCCAGCCAGGCATCAGGCCAGGATACCGAAGCAAGACAACACTGGTGGATGTGATCCTTTTGGCCTAATACGAGGGCCCAGTCGCCCATATTTACACTGCTGGGCCTCTGTCTAGCGAGTGACATGGTCATGAAGAATTGTGCTGCCCAGCCGCAGTGGTGTGGTGGGGGCTGATGGAATTGCCCATTGTCCTTAGGCTGCCTCAGAAAATCATGATCGGCTCCTTCACACCCACGCCCACGTCTCCCGGACATCCATCCTCTTCTTCATCCTGGCCCGCGTCCATCGAGGACCTCACTCCGCCTTTCCAGCTCTGGCTGGCAAGAGGGCAGCGATCCGTCCCAGTCACAGCCATCCACGGAGCCAGGGCCACTGGGCTCGGCTCCTGTCATGTTCGGTGCCGAGGAATGAAGCCGCCAACCTTAAAACAGCTGCAGTTAGTTCAGAAGCGCGGCTCAGCCAAACAGGCTGCCCTACCCAGGGCTCTCCACACTTCACTGGCTCCTCAGCCCTGGACAAATTCAAGGTGTCGTCCCTCATCACAAGGCCTTCCATGTGACCGAAGGACCTGCTCGATCTGTGTCCTCCTGGCACACACTTTCCACTGAGGCGGCGCGCCTGTCCGCCTCAAGAGTGCATTTCCCAAATGCTTGGGACAGCGGCTTATGGAGACTGGCTTGTGAATCTGGAGCTTTCTCCCAGAGGAGAGCATGTGAGCTTGACCCTCAGCACCTTCAAGGCAAAATGCAACACCCTCATCTGTTTACACACAGAAAAACACCCCAAGAACAACAGCAATCCCAGGCCCTGATTTCTGGAGGGAAGACAAAGAAACACGTCTCACCTTGGCTAGCACTCAGATATGAACCTAGGGATGTAAGACGTCTGGTGTCCTCATCATTTAAAGGCAAGGGGTGGGATGTTCAGAAAGCCGCCATATGAAAATGCCATCGGCTTTCAGTGAGACTTGTGCTCCGACGTCATTTAGATACAGTGGGAAACCCCACACAACGTGACTGCTCCGTGGTGCTCTTACCTGTAAACAAGGGACAAGGAAAGTTGTGTTTACAGGCAGCTTCGCACAGTGCCGGACCTGCTTTTAAAATAGCGAGAGGTGGGGCTGTGAGGGAGTGAGAGGAGGGCCTCAACAAAGCCTGTGTGCCCAACTAGCCCCGCCCCGTTTTGCCGACAGCCAATGCCAGGCCTGGAGGGAGGATAAAAGAGAGGAGCCTGGCTCAGTTAGGGGCTGACCAGTGCAGAGGCAGGAGCTGTTTCTGCTGTCTGCAGGACCTGAGTCAGAGCCGTCTACTGGGATAGTCACAGGAGCACGTAAGCCTCCAGCCCCTCCCTTTGGCACCAAGTGGGGAGAACCTACAAGGAACCTTCACTGAGGAGGGGGAAATTGGACTCTTGGGGCCATGCCTCAAATTTAAGAACCAGACTCAGATAAGAGGCCGGAATTCCTAGGCCCAGGGCCCCCACAGCAGAGGCCTACACCCCTTTGCCACCAGCTGGCTCCAGGACCTAACCACTAGGCCACCCCACTGCCCAGGAGACCCGGCCACAGGGGCATTGTACAAGTTCAAAGATCACACTACTAAACGTGTCTGGGGTGCGGCGAGGCATAGGGCAGTGCGGAAAGTAAAGCACTGGAGACAGAGCAGATATCATGTAAGTCACAGCTTCTTAACATCCTGATCAGGCATTGTACCTGCATGGTTTTGCTTTGGGTTGGGATGCTCCAGCCAGGGCCTGGTCAGATCTTGGAGGGTGTGATGACATTCGCTCACCACGGCGGCGCCTCCTGCTGGCTGACCCGCGGATTAGCTCTGCACACCCGTGTGCCCTCTTCTGGTGGTACCTCGTTGCTGTCACTTCTGCTTCTGGACCCGTGTCATTCCGAGGACTGGGGCGTCCTCTTCAGGACACAGCCCTCCCGCTATGCCGCAAGTACAGTCCCTTAGTCCTGCCTCATCCACTACTCCAGGTCCTGGTCCAGGGACTCTGTCGATAGCCATCGCTGCTGTGTCCCCTCCAGCTCCTCAATTTATTTTCCTGGGCCACTTCCCAGCACCTTCTTTGCCCTCACCTCAGGGCATCACCAGTCTTAGCAGCCCTCTCTAGTTTCCCCAGTCCTTGCTGGCATCCCTGCTCTGTGCAGCGCTCTGGCATGCCTGTCTCCCGCTAGGAACCTGATCTCTCCTCAAGCTCTAGGCCGCTACTGAGTGTGCTGTGCCCTGCAGCACTTATATGGGCCTGCCTAACCCTGATTGGCCGCACCTCTCAGCTCTTCTCTGATTGGCTACCTCCTGCACAGCCTCTCTGCGTCTCTATTCACTCCTTAGAGCCCAGTGTGCACCAGGGCAGAGAACTGAACACTCGGGGTGCCTATCGGCGCTTGATTTGTGCACTCAGAGGGTCTCCTACCACTTGCCATAGTCAGGTATGTAATCACCAGGCATGTAATCGCCAGAAAACCAGAGATCCTGTCAGTGGCGCAAAGGGAAGCCAAGAGAGCTGTGCACAGTTTGGTCTGGGCTGAGGGGGAGTTCCAAAGCGTTCACTGAAATGGCCTGAGTTTGAGAGAGAAGCCCAGACAAGGCGGATCTTTGGCCCCTCGCCGAGGCAGGGTGGCTGAATGGCTGAGGAGACCGATAATGCAACATGGAACCCGGTAATGCGGCAGCGTGTAGGCGCCACGCGCCCGGCCCTCCAGCACCTCTGCAATTTCACTTGCATAGAGCAGTCATCTGCATCGCCATTTAGCACGGCGGGGTTCGACGACTCCTGCCTTCCCTTCCAGAGATGGCTTTGCCCTCAGCTGTGGGCATCGCGTTTGCTAAGTGTCCCCTTTACCATCCCCTGCAGACCCACTGGGCCTCCAGCCCCAGCCTGGGAGATTGGACTGGTGCTCTATAGACCCCACGCTATACCGTGACTAGCTGGCAAGAGTCACTGCTCGAGGGATAAATACCTAGCTGCCTTCCCAGTCCTCTTCCCTGGGAGCTGTGCGTGCCAGCTTCATCATCGGAACAAATCCCCGGTTGTCACGCAGCACGCTCGGCAAAGCAGCTGGACCGATGGAGAGCTCACATCTCTCCTCCTGCTGCAGCCAAACGGACTTGTAAATATATAACCTAGCCTCAAACGGGGCGGGGGACATGACCAGAAGCCCCAGCCGCAGGAGGGAGCTGGCAATGCTGTGGGCTTCATTTCTGTACCATGGAGGCTTTCCATGATCCAGGCTCTGCAATTCTGCATTTTCAGGATCCACTGGCAGGGTCCGGAGGGAAATGGGCTGAAACAGAGCTGGGCCTGAAGCAAAACCTCTGCTCCGGACACCTCTGAACTCTGGCAGAGTTCAGATTGGAAGCTGAACATTGCGGCTACATCTACACTGGCCCCAAATTCCGGAAAAGTGATGCAAAGCAGGTAAGTCAGAATAGGGAAATCCGCGGGGGATTTAAATATCCCCCGCGGATTTAAATAAACATATCCGCTGCTTTTTTTCCGGCTTGGGGAAAAGCCGGAAAAAAGCGTCTAGACTGGCGCGATCCTCCGGAATAAAGCCCTTTTCTGGAGGATCTCTTATTCTTACTTTCAGGTAGGAATAAGAGATCCTCCGGAATAGGGCTTTATTCCGGAGGATTGCGCCAGTCTAGACGCTTTTTTCCGGCTTTTCCCCAAGCCGGAAAAAAAGCGGCGGATATGTTTATTTAAATCCGCGGGGGATATTTAAATCCCCCGCGGATTTCCCTATTCTGACTTACCTGCTTTGCATCACTTTTCCGGAATTTGGGGCCAGTGTAGACGTAGCCTGCAGGTGTGGGCTCTTAACAAGGGACAGCTGGCAGGCAGTGTGTAATCCCGGAGGGGTGTCCTGGAGGCCATGTCAGCCCTGAGCTACACCGCACACATTTAACAGGACGCAGCACCATCGCCACACACTGCCGAGGGAAGTGATGCGGGGCAGTTTGCGCTAAGGCAGGTGGGATGTCCTTGAAAGACAGATGTTGGGGAGAACAGAGAGTCACCGTCAGAGTCTCATTTTTGAGCCTATTAATACAAAGTTTTGTCTGTTTTACAAATAAAAATAGCTTCACTCCACCATCTGCCTGCCAGCCGCTCCACTGTCACTCCAGCAAGGGAACAAGCGTGTCAGAGTCCTCGCGCCCGGCTCATCCCTTTTTTATTTTTTGATGGCTTGGCTGGTGCCATTCGTAAGCAGCAATTATTAGCTCCTCCAGTCAGGAATGGTGCCAGTTTGTTATGAATATCTTCACAGGTTTCCTCAGAGTTTGGACAGAGAATCAGGCTGTGGGTGGGTTGCTGGTTTGTGTGTGGCGGGGTGGGGGTGGCGGGAGGGGAGGTTGGTTTTTTGTTGCTGCTGTTACTTTCTCCTTGCAGCTTTGGATATTGTCAGGGCCAGGACTAAGGTGTGGGCTAGCTGGGCAGATGCCCAGGGTGCCAACCTATGGGGGGGCGCCTGATGGCAGCTGTAAGGTGTGCAGTGCGCTGGGGGGCGGGGCCACGCATGCGCCGTGCGCCCGGGGCGCAGGAATGGCTCGAGGCAGCCCCCCGCCCATCCCCCCTTTGGTCTCTTCACACAGCTCCAGGCTCCATTTATCCCTCCGGGTA